CCAAAACACTCAATAGGACATCAAAGTAATTTAATAATCAATATTAAATTCAATAAGGCCAGCTGTCATTTTTTGGGTTTTTTTTTTTTTTGGGTTTGTTTATAGAAATTCAATTGTGTATGATTTATTTATAATATTAGTGCTAAAAATGGGTATATCACTAAATATATCTTTTATATAAAGCTTTCTTGCAAGGCATCAGCCTTATGTTGTGGAATTTAGGTTTGATTGAAATGGTTCTTACTGATTGTCGTTTGGTCGTTTGTTCATAATTATTTTGTTTTGTCAAAAAATTAATGTAATTGGATTTGGACAGAGCCAGGAATCTTATCGGGTGGCCGGGTGCGCTGGTTTTTACTTTCTACTTTTTCTCAAGGACAAATGCATACAGCCAAACCTTCAATTCAATCATAACAAGAAAAGAGAACTAACAAGGACTACTAGACAATTGAGACGAGGAAAATAAAAGACGCCCAGAAACTCACAAAAACCATAGAATAAACCAATAAAGCATAAGCGAAGTTTGAAACCAGTATACCACTGTACCATACATCTGTTCTATGAAACCAATGCCAAGTCAATCCCCGCTTTATCCCGACCTGAAACGGTGTTATTGCATGCTAGACCTCGGCATCGTGATCCCCGAAGTCTTCGTCAGGTTGTTGACAAATAAGTTGGATTTGTTTCTTCGGTGGTGAGGGGGGTTTCTTCCTCCTCTCCACCTTATTCACGTTCCTAGCCAACTCTCTTTTAGTTCTTCCCTCCACTGTCTGGCCGTCCACCTCCTTCAAGTATCCACCAAATTCAAACTTCTCAGCTAGTTCTTTGTCTGAATCTGGAAGCTTCCCATTTTTCGGGATGTTGCTAGCTAACACTATACCGACCCCAACGGCTAGAAACACAAATAGGAGATACATGATCTTTCTCTTTTCTTCCTTCTGTAAAACAGTGGACAAGGAGACAACGCCCGGGAAAACCAGATCAAAATAGTTGTCATTGTCTTGGATCTTCCTGTTTAAAAAAAAAAAACATATCAAAGAAGAGATTAAAAAAGATGAACAAGATGTTGCAAAGTGCAGGTGGGTGGAATAGAAACCTACAAATCTGTCAGTGGAAGTAGCGCAGCTAGATAATCAACTGATCCAGTAAAGTTGTTATTCTGCAGGAACCTGCAGATGCACCCAATAGATATGTGAAATCAGAGAAACATAACGGCACAATACACTACACCAAGCAGAAAAAACTGACTGAAAAAAGCACAAACTCACAATCCAGTGAGGTTTGTCAAGGATCCAAATGAACTTGTGAGGCTTCCCGTCAAGTTATTGTATGACAAATCCCTGCAGAAATCAAAACTCACAAGTAAGAAATGCATGTCATTTTGGAGATTTGTTGCTATGGTTACAAGCCGATAATTTGCGTAAGCATGTTCATGAATGTGGGCTTTCCAAGAGGATTGAGTTAGTCATTACATCTGCTTTGCTAAGGTAATCATAGGGGTCATTGCAGTTTATTTTCTCAACATATTTTTCTTCCTTTGCTAGAGGTTTGGTAAGCACATAGAAAAAATTTACAGAACTATTTGAAAGGAAGCATACAGTTCTCTTAAATTCTGCAGGCCGGTGAATGCATTGCCAACAGGTCCAGATAACAAATTGTGGCTTAGATTCCTGCAAGAAAGGAAAAATTACAGCTTAATTATGCTGAATAATCATGAACCAAAACCAGTAATTAATTAGTATGCAAGTCACAAATGTCGGAGACTTTTCATGGTAGGTAAAGAATGGAGAAAATATCAAAACTGTAGAACATGTAAAATAAAACCAGTTGTATGAACGAGGAATCGTACTTACATATGAGTGGCATTTGGGGGTAAGACATATGGAATTTCACCCACTATGCTATTGGAACTAACATCCCTATAAGAAGAAACCAGATGAAAAGGTTTACACAAACCATATGTGAAGTAATTTAATTTCTTTTTAACAAAAACTTACAGTGTCTTCAGGTTGAACATATTATAGAGCTGGGCACTAAGATACCCGGAGAGGTTCAGCCCCTGAAGTTTACTGCATAAGGTTAGGGGGGAATTGAGCTCAGTACATAATCCAAGTATAGTTAATATGGCCAACAACAAAAGAATTATTGTACTAGGAGCATTACAGGTGTATTACAGATGACCCGGAACATGACAGTCCAACCCATGATTCACCACAAGGATCCCCACCATCCAATCTCCATCCCTTCAGCTGCAGAGGGCCATTAAGAGCCTCGTAAAAATCTTCAAGAGCCGTGACTGCAGTGCATAGAGAGAAAGAGAAAATATGATGGAGAATTTATAAAATCAATAAACTCTACAGAATAAAAAAGATTTCACGCAGCACGGACAGAAACTTGAATCCAACACATGTAAGGTCTAATTAATTAAAGAAAAGTTTCAACCAACTCCAGGATTTTAAAACGAAAGAGAGTGCAAGATTTCACACATGAATTTACTAATGATATGTATATAGTCAACATATTACATGTATGGAATAATTTCCATGTCAGTTTCAATTCAATTAAACAAAGAAAATGATCAGCATACACAGCGAAAATAGAGGCCAAGAAGATTCATAAAAGACATTCATGAATATTACAGCCCTATGATCCATGTATCAGCAAGATGATAAGAAGTATCCAGGGAAGAAAGATAACTTCTTCTTCTTCTTTTTTTCTGAATAGAAACTTTATCAATTCAAAAGAGATAAACAGAGAAACAAGCAAGTGGATAAGGAATCCACAAGAGAAAAACAAAAGAAAGCTGCAACCTCAAGACCAAAACAAAACAAAGGAAAGTAGGACAAAAACAAACAAGAAGGCCACCCAGGAAAAGATAAAAGAGCAACACATCACTTCGCAACCGCTAACAAATCTCGCATCTAGAAGAGACAGCCAAATCCTTAAAAACAGGAGCCGCCCAAGACTTCACTGTATCCCACATCTCAGCCACCCCCACGCTAATAAGCCTTGTGTCATAAACAGTTAACTGCACAACTGCCATGGAGAATTAAAGGAGCATGAAAATTCGGTGGGTGGCATCTCTTATCCAATTCATGCTAGTTTCTCAATAAAAACATGAGAAGGTAACAACAAATTCCCAATAGGATCAAGTTCTCATATTAAAACTCAGAAAATCATAACACATAAGTATAGCAATTAAACCTTAATCGTCTCAAGATTGTAGGAAAATTTTGGTCTAATTGCTATATTTAATCACACAGAAAATTTAGAAATAAATTATGCAATATCATGATTTTGAAATATAACTCCAGGATTTTAAAAAGAAAGAGAGTGCAAGATTTCACACATGAATTTAGTAATGATATGTATATGGTCAACATATATACATGTATGTAATAATTTCTATGTCAGTTTCAATTAAACAAAGAAAACTATGGGCATACACAACAAAAATATCTGTCAGAAAAATAGAGGCCAATAAGATTCATAAAAGACATTCGTGTATATTACAGCCACATGATCTATTTATCAGCAAGATGATAAGAAGTATCTAGTGAAGCAAAATATATAATCTTTCAGCAAGATGATAGGAGATTTCACACCGATAAAAAAAAAATACATGTTTCAGTTTGATAAGATAAACTCACAGCAAAATAGAAAGATGCACACATGAAAGGAGCATTAAAATTCGGTGGGTGGCATCTCTCATACGATGACTCTGTATAGAAGTGGTTATACAAAGACTGAAAGAAATTCCATTTGTTTTACTACAAGAAATTCATCAGAGAACATGAAATGCATCAAAGACCAAAAATTAATGATTGTACGAGTTACCATCACGCCCATCAGTGAACGCCACCGCTTGGGAAGCCAGAATAGCCGAGATGAAAATTAATGCGAAGCACATCCATGCACTCTGTTTTGCCATACTCACGAAAATCTACTTGGGACTGCTGAAATCAACGGGAAAGAGAAATTTGTTAGTATATAAATTGAGGTAAAAAAGCACTTTCTTCCCATTTTCCTCCATTTTCTCGGAAACCAAACGGAACACGAAGTGTTCAAGAAACGCTCGACCGAAATGCCCTTGTGTTTCTTCAACACAATCGATAACACATTTCTAAAGTGGAAAATCTAAAGAAGCTAAAGACGAACCTTGGAGGAAGCGTCGTAGAGAGAGAGCGGGAGAGAGAGATTGTCAGGGAGAGAGAAGGTTGCGTGCTGTGTAAGTTGCAGAGGGCCAGAGAGAGAGACTGTAGCAATTTCTCAATCTTTAACCAGCTTGACCTTCGTTGAATAGCTGGACCCCACGTCAGCACAAATCAAAACCGCTTCGCACGTGCCACTGGGCACATTTTCCTTGGGAAATATTAAATTACTGAAACGACGTCGTTGCCGAGGCCGTGGTACTTGACGGAGCGAAGGAACCCGGTCGCTTTCCGGTTCGTTGAATAGCTGATTGTCGTTTACTTCTATTTGTCCTAGCGCTAACTCGTGCTGTTACTGGTAATTGAAAATAGACATTTTCTTGAATTTAAATTAGAATCTACTGTAAGAAAAGATAAATTAGGATTTAACATTTAATGACACACCCAGTTATTTGCTCATCACACCCTTCCATTTTCCTCATAATATTTATTTCCGCTCTCTTTATTTATTTAGTTAAATAATTAAATAAAATAATAAAACATTCTTTTCCTTTTTCCCTTCTCCTTTACCATCAAACGTGTTAAATTTATTCAAAGTGCTTCAAAGAAATTCACCAACCATCAATAATCATAATAAGATTCGAAAATCCAAAATAGTAGCTTCATTGCTAGGTAGGCACTTCAAGCCTTGAATGCTAACCTTAGATTCTGATCTTCTTCGTCTTAACATAACACACACACAAAGCATAGCCAGTTTAGGTTTTCCACCCAACAAAACATGATAAAACCTTCAAAAGGTTCCAAAGTTTTAAGTCCAAAATAATTATAAACCTCAAATATCAAAATAACCGCAATTTCCATGATTAAACGACATATAAACTTCATAGTCAGAATAATCCATTTTAAATGCATGGTAATTTTATCGTTGAAAATAATGCTATTTCAAAACAAAGTCCACTCACTTCGTCATAATCCTATCTGAAATTAAATTCTCAATTTCACATTATGCAAATTTAACACATCTCAATGATATCATAGTTAAAACAATAACATTCAGTATACCGAGTTCAAACTGTGAGAATCATTATTCTTAAAAATGTTAATATTTTATTTTAGTAAGTATTAAATTATAATTATAATTATTTTATGGAAGTCTATGTACCATATTTAGTTTATAACCTATATATTTTGATAAAGCCAAAAAGAGTTAGCTTGAGACACGTCCACTTACTAGCTAGGTTTGTTGTCAATCTATGACATAGCATGAAAACACCTGATGCTATTTCTCCTTGTAGATGGTAACAAATGTTTGGTCAATAGATTTAAGAGTTATCTAAAATTTACTTCGCTAGTAAGTATTTGAATCATTATCCTTTGTCTCGACGCCAATTGCAATGAATAGTTATCCAAATTTATAAGCTCTGCAACCCCAACCAATAGGAAACCATTTAGTTGCCGCCTCTTTTGTAGTATAAATAGGGGTCATTTCCTTTGATTATTGAAAACACAAGACATTGCATAGTAGTACATGCACACACAGAGAGAGAGAGAGAGAGAGAGAGAGAGAGAGAGAGAGA